CTCACTCTGGCTCCATCCACGCCCATAGTCACCAGCCCCCAAATACTCCACTCTTCTTCATCACCTCATGCTTCTGCTTTCTCTGCCTAAGGCAACTACTAAATAGTTCAGGGCCATGTTACTGCTTTTCCTTAAAGGCTTTTGAGTGAATAAACAATTTTTAGTCAGGTAGTCACTACCTGAGATTTTTTCAACGGTGATGCCTATTCTCAGACTCCCTGGCTGTAAGAACATTTCTTTTCCTTTTTCTTTCATTTTTTCATTTTCTTTCTTTTTTTTTTTTTTTTTTAGTGATACCAGGGATTGAACTCAGGATCTTGAACTTGTCAGGCAAGCACTTATTCCACTGAGCTATCTCCCCAGCTATACAAACATTTTTGATTCAATACACTGCACTTATAACCCTTAACAGGAGGATTTCTCTTCCACCTTCACAAACATATCCCATGGGCCACAGAGCAGCAGGAGGTCAAAGACAGAAAGGTTACCTCTTTCTGAGTAGGAGAGCGGGATGGCCACACTTTGGACAGGCTTGGCATCCAGAGACTCCAGATACCAGGTGCACATACTCTGCTCTGGCCTCAGAATGGAAACCAGTCCCCTGTCATTGCCTGTTCCTGAAGTACTAGGAAGGACAGTCTGCAATTAAGAATAAAAGTCATCATGAACAGGGAATGGAGCAAACTACAAACACTCTAGAGGTAACCAGGTATGGGTGTCCTACTCTAAATGGTCTCAAAATAAAGAGGGGGAGGCGCCTAGAACTTCTTCCATAATTAAAGAACACTTTCATCCCTATGTTCCCATGGCTACACCTACACACGGGAGAACTCTTTAAAATGTGTAACTGCCTTAGTCAGTTTGGGTTGCTATAATAAAGTAGCATAAATTAGGTGATTTATAAGCAATAAAAAGTTATTTCTTACAGTTCTGGAGGCTGCAAGTCTGAGATCAGATTGCTGACGCGGTCAAGTTCAGGATAGTTCAGGACAGGGTCATCTTTGCTAAGGATACTAATTTTATAAAGGCAGAGTTGTCATGACCTAAGGCCTCCTGCAGACCCATTTCCTAACACCAAGGCACTGGGAAGGAGCAGGGAACACACAGTGTACAGCAATGACCTTTGGTGAGGAATTGCATCTGTGAATTTCTCAAGCAGTTCAACTCACCTGCATTAAGATTTACTATATTGGGGGGGCTGGTGAGATGGCTCAGTGGTCTAAAGCACCTACTCAGAACAAGCTTAGCAAAGCACAGGGACCGCGGTTCGATCCCCCAGCACCACATGCCAGCCAGCCCCGCCCCCTGGTGGGCTGAGCTGGACACACACACACACACACACACACACACACACACACACACTAAAATAAAATAAAAACACTTTAAAAAAAAAAAGATTTACTATATTGGGACAGGTGAGATAGCTCAGTGGTCTAAAGCACCTGCTTAGGCAAACTTAGGCAAATGCGGGGACCACAGTTGGATCCCTGACCCCAGGGTGAGCTGAGCAGGCCACACGCACAAATAAAAGCTTTACTATGTCATGTACTGGGGCTACCAAGATAAAGACATGAACTCAGGCCTCAAACGCTTCACAGATGGTAGAAACTTTTACTGAGTTATTATATTATAACATACATTATTTGATATGAAACCAACAGCAATTCAAGACAATGAATATATGCATTACCTCAAATAGTTTCTTCATTCCCTTTCCTGATCCTTCTCCATGCTCATCCCTTCTAGAATCTTCCATGCCCAGCTATCTAGAAAGCTTCCTGAATAATAACACGCTAAGCTAAGAGGTAACAGGGTCAGTGTTCTCGGAAAGCTAAGAAAATGGGAAGAGGAAAAGATTTCTCAGTTTCAATCTGACAAGCATTCAGCTCGAATTGATTACCTACAGGGTTAACAGTGTCAGAGAACCAACTCTCAGGATGACTCAAAAGGAAAATTTTAAAAAGAAAAAGAAGAAGAAAAAAAAAAAACAGTGCCACACGCTATGTCAGGAAGGACACAGGAAACAGAAACAACTGTCTTCAGAGCTCACTGTCAGAGCCATGTGCAGCCTGGTCATCAGGCTCTAGGCAGGGCAAATCGTGGACACACACACTAAAGACGGCCCACGAGAGGAACTCTGGGATAACTGAGGAAAGCTACCACCCTGCAGGCCTGTTCCGTCACCTACGGGTCCTGCACACATAGCTCTGTCAGTTTTCTGAGGGGGAAACAGGCACTGCAGCGATTTTATTGGCTACTGTGAGAATTAACTCTATGGAAAGTTAAACACAAGGATTCCAAAAAAGGACCTAGGGTCCCACTGAGTTTCCAGACATTCCTATGGGATAACACCTATACAGCGATACTACCTATATAGGCCCCCTGTATTATATCTTTTTCTGGGACAGCGTCCCTAGATTTGGACCGTCTCTGGCCTCAGGAGCTTCAGAGTCATAGCCTCGCACACAGCAAGTATTCTATTATGGAAATGCCCCTGTCCACATCCTCTCTTTCTATCTTCATGGCTGTCACTGTAATCCTCTTATTTGTGACAACCCGGATGAAACTGGAGATTATTCTATTAAGTGAAATAAGTCAGGCACAGAAACCCAGTACTGTACGATTCCACTGCTATGCGGAATCTAACAAAATATGCTGATATACAAGCTGAGAGCGAGCTGGGCGGGGGAGGGGGGGTGCACACCTCCAATCCCAGCACTCAGGAGGCTGAGGCAGGAGACCAGCTGGGGCCACCAAGTGAGCTCAAGGCCAGGCTGATCTGCACAGCGGGACCCGGTGTGGGTGCGGAGGAGCTGAGAGCTGCTGGAGGGTAGCAGAGGTCAGGGAGCGAAGCGGAAAGGGCAGAGAGAGGTTGCTGGGTTATAGTAAGGTGGCAGCGAGAAGTCCTGGTTTTGTCGCACAGTAGGCGACCGTGGGTAACATCGCACACTGTTTCCAAAAACCTAGGAGGAGTTTGAAGGTTTTCATCGTAAAGAGAAGATAAATCTTCAAGGAGGTAGATAACATTTAGCCAGATTTCGACCTCAAACAATTTCTGCATCCATCGAAACATCGCAAGGGTACCCCACGGACATGGATATTTCTGTTTTTATTATCAGTTAAGATACATCCAGAATTAGCATTAAATATAAATACTGTCTTTGCTGTGATGTCGTGAGAAGGAAATTGTTATTTGCCAATCAGTAACCTTGTAATTATATAGGAAGAGTGCCTCAAAAAGTTTGTTTTTTTTTTTTTTTTTAAATATAGCTAGCAGAAAAAGGAGGGCATGGGCTCAGGGACAGATGTCTGTAATCCAAACTACTTAGGGGGCTGAGGCAGGAGGATCACAAGCAAGCTCAGGGCCAGCCAGGGCAACTCAGTGAGACACTACTTCAAAATAAAACAGGAAAAGGAATGGGGAGGTAGCTCAATGATAGAATACTCCTGGGCTGGATCCCTAATACCAAAACAAAATAAAAAATAAGAAACATCTCCATGTCATTTTATTATGTCTCTATCAGTTGATCAATCAATCTGTCTATCTACTGTCTTTTTGAGACAGGGTCTCACTATGCAGGTCAGGCTGGTTTTGAGCTCACTTTTTTAGCCCAGGCTGGTCTCGAATTCCCAAAGATCCTCCTGCCTCAGCCTCCTGAGTGCCACCTCCCCTGGCAGGAGATGTAGTGATATGAGTCACAAATTTACTGTCCCGAGGGAGCAAGGAACAAAGAACAGAGCCAAAGGAAAGTGGCCCCTTGTAATTCTGGCAAGACTAACAGATTCCTGGAGCTGCAGCCCTGGCTGTTCTTTGTTCCTTTACCTGGGAAGTTATGAAATAATGATCTGTAAACTTAGAGTTTGGGTGAAAGCCTAAGGGGGTGTAAGTAACAGCTTGCTTACACCAAATTAGCGATACACATTCCTTAGCTTGCTTGCAGCCCTCAGTAAAGGTGAGAAGTTTCCGTGGCTGGTAGCTCACTTAGAG